TGGTAGACTGCCGTTTGAGGTCTATAATTACCTTTAATGCTTGACTGTTTTGTGAAAAACAAAAAAAAACAAACAAACATATATTTTAAAAGAACCTGTTAGGACAAAAATATGGGAGCTGCACTTGTCGGTGTGTTGTGAAAATGTAGGTTCCTACAATGACCCATGCCACTGATCCAGAACAAGCATTAACGTATGGTAATATGGATCAGGGCACCTAATAAGGAAATGCTTGTTCCAGAACAGTGACTCAATAATAAGTGATGAAAGCTCAAAGGTTAAAACCTGGGAGCCTGCACCTTCCCCAACAGGAATGAGAGCTCCAATATTTCCGACCTGACAGACACCCTTTAATTTAACTAATAGGAGTTTGTGCATCAAACACATATACAATACAACACAACACAATGCACTATGCAGGTCATATGCAGTGTAAACTAAATTAGTGCAAGCAACAACTGAGACATTTTAATATTAGACTTAATTTAAGAAAACTGTACCTGGATAGATACCGTAACCAAGAGAGCTAATCAAAAAGGCTCTTTTTTTTAGTCTCAATAAATTTGTTACAGATATGGTAAAGAATCACATGTTGTGCATCATCTCTTCAGAGCAGAAGCTCCTATGTGCAAAGTAAAGTTCATCCTCCTGTGTTAAAAATGGTAGAGCTGCAGATTTCTACACAGGAATGCTTCAAATACTGCTTACTTTCAGACAAATGCTTATTTTCCCAGTGTAATCTTCAAATGTTACAGGCTGCCAGCAGCTGACTGAAATATCAGCCATCTATCAGATACTTTGTTTTTACTTTTGAGTGAACTTTAACCAGTTGACATCCGCGGTGTTAAACCCCCTTCCCATCCAGGCCATTTTTCAGTATTCAGCGCTGCGGTACTTTGACTGACATTTATTCCGTCATGCAGCGCTGTACTGAAATGAATTTTATACACTTTTTTGGGGGCAGATAGAGCTTTCTTTTGGTGGTATTTATTCACCACTGGGGATTTTATTTTTTTACTATATTAAGGAAAAATTACCGAAATTTTTTAAAAAAAAACAGTTTCCCCTATATTAAATGATAAAACATTTATTATTACCCAATTTTTTGGTAAAATATAAAAGATGGGGTCACGTCGGGTAAAAAGACACTAAACATGTCAAGCCTTAAAATTGCGTGCACGCGCGAAACCTCAAAAAACGATAATACCCAAAATTGGCCATAGGCGACGCTTTAAAAGCTGTTACCGCTCATCAGTTTAGTGTTATCAGTGATTGATGGCCCTAAAATGATTGCTCTCACTGCGACGTTCGCGGCGATATGTAACATGT